ATTTTTGTCTCTTCTTTAGAAATTATTGATCCAACGATGCAAGCATAGGTGAATATCGAAGACGTGGTTTTAACTTTGTATTATCAGTCATAGCTACTATTGAGCCATCATATTAAATTGAATCAATTAATCGCTTGAATCTAGCAATATTTTCATAACATAAATTTGGATTGGTTAAACAATCTTCGCTATTTCTTCTTAATTGTAAAAATTTTAAGTTTATTATAACAGATTGGCAATATGCATAGTTAATTATACATAATTTTAAAAAATTTAAAATACTTACCGAATTGATTGGATTGTTCTGCCTTCCAAATTTTGTTAGAACAAGTCCAAAGCTCTTGAACTAAACCCTTCCAATATAACTAAAAAACTTGTAAACTCATCACTATATTTCAAATTTCATTTACATTTATTTTTTAATTTTCTTTCTATAGCATTACCCATGACTTCGCAAAGTCCAGTAAATACCGGTGTGTTGTTAAAAGCACCTTTCAATGCTTTGTCAGCAAGAGCAACCCATAGATTTTCTGATTAAACATCTGATTTATTATTAAGTATATTCCACATATCATGAAGATCAAAATTTTTAAGATAACATTTTAAGGGATTATCTTCCTAATAATGCTTTGGAGTAAATTTGACATTAGCTGGTAATGGTAAAGGACGAGTAATTTTATTGCATAAAATTTGGTTATGTCGAATACTAGAGCATTCAAAACATACATTTCCATTTCCAGAAATTCCAGTGCAATTTTTTGCACGAACAGCATTGCCTAATATAAAAAAAATAAATAGTATTTTATTTATCTTAATATTATTAAAACAAAATGTCAACAATTTAATTACATACTTGCTCGATCAATTTTCCATACAGATTCTGTAAATAGTATACGATTCAATTGCCTTTTTTGTTTTGAGTTTAACTTTTTCCTACTAAAACTCTTTGAAAATAAATTGGGAAAGATTTCACATACAACAACTTCAATATGACGTGAACCACCAAATTGTGCAGGAGTTCGCTAAATATATTTTGATATTTCTGCAGATCGAAATCCAACACAATAATATCTTTTTTTAGAATTTTTTGCATTTACATTTAAAGTTTCTATAAATAAAAATTCTTGATTTTGATCTTCATTTCTGTTTCATCAATTTGGATTAGATCATCTTCGTCCATATCATCATACACGTCTAAATCATATTCTTCTTCCTCTTCAACTACTTCTGTTGGTTTAAACCAATTATAAAGTGACCTTTGTTCTTCATCTGCTTTGCATCTAGAACATTGAGCATGACGATTAAGGTAATCTTCTTCCCATTTCCTGTTGAGTTTTATTTTTTTGCCACAAATACATATTACTTTCTTGGGATGTATAATATGAGCAACATACTTGTGTTTGGAAAGTCTTTCAAAACTATGTTTCCAATTTAGCATGATATTTAAAATTATATATACAGTATTAAAGTAAAAGAAAATTAAGACAAAGAAATTTTTATTTTGGAAATTTTTTTTCGAAAGAATAAAGATTAAACAGATTATCACAATTGATTTACAATATTTTAATGGTTAGTGTAATATTTCTAACTAAATATATACATAATAAATTATATATATGATCTGCTAAATTTGGGCTAAAAATACGCAAACTAAATTTCTTACATATTTAAAATATTGATTAAAATACGCAAACTGATGATCTAACTATAAATGAAAAATTCTTAAATCATACGCAAACCAAAATCTTATCCCGTCTTACTATGATGGCGACGCATCTGTTAACCCTACCTCTATATATATATTTCTGGGTCCTAGTAATAAATATCTACCTTTAATTTTTTTTTTAACATTAGCAAAATAGTTTGGATTACATTTATACTTTTATTATAATTTAAATCTAACTAAATTTTTATTTAAATGTAACTTTATATTTAATAATACAAAAGTTGATAAGTTATTTTTATTGTTTATTAGTATCTATTTATACTTTATATAATTATAAAAATTTAACAAAAAAGTTATTTTTAAGGAGGTAAGTTATTTTTATTGATAAATAATATTTAATTATACCTTTTTATTATAATTTAAATATAAATAATTATTAATATTTAATTATATTCTTAATATAATTTACATTTAGCTAAATTTTTATTTAAAAATATTTAATAATTAATAATATATAGATGGTAAATTATATTTATTAATTAATAGTATTTTATTGTATTTAACGTAATTTAAACTTATTAATTTAAAAATTATTTTAATAATTTAGATTATAAGTTATTTTAATGATTATAATATGTTAGAAATTAACTGAACAAATGAAATTGCTATATTTAATTATATTTATTGTAATTTAAAAATCAAATAAATTTTTTATTAAAAAAATATTTGAAAATTTAAATGGTAAATTATTTATTAAGTATTAAAATATTATTATAATATTTATTTAATTAATTCAACTAAAATATTTATTAATTTATAATATAAAATAGTTAGTAAATTAGTTTTATTTAATTAATAGTATTTAATTATATTTTAATTATAATTTAAATCTAATAAATTATGTATTTAAATATCTTTAATGATTAATAATAAATAATTGGTAAGTTATTTATTTTTTAATTGATCATATAAAATTATTCTTATTATTATAATTTTTATAACTAAATTTTTAATTAAAAAAAATACTATAAAAGGAGATAAGTTATTTTTATAAATTATTATACTTTTAATATAATTAAATTAAAAAAAATTATTTTAAAAATAAATATTTAATGATTTAAATTGTAAGTTATTTACATTGATCATTAGTATTTAATTATATTGTTTATTATAATTTAAATTAACTAAATTTTTATTTAAAAAAAATATGTAATAAATATTAATATAATAAATAGTAAATATTATTATTGATTATTAGTATTTAATTAAATATTTTTTATAATATAAATTTAATATATTTTTTATTTAATAATTAATAATATAATAGTTGGTAAATTATTTTTATTGAATATTAGTATTTAATTATTCTTTTTATTGTAATTTAATGTAATTAAATATTTTATTTTAAAAAAAAATATTATTAAAGGAGGTTAGAAATTATCAGCATTTAATTATATTTTTACTTAATTTAAAATCAACTAAAATTTTTATTTAAAAAATAGATAGTAAGTTATTTTTATTGATTATTGATATTTAATATATTTTTTATATGAATTTAAATTAACTAAATTTTTTCTTTAAAAAAAAATTATTTAATAATTTAGATTGTAAGTTATTTTTATTGATTATCAGTATTTAATTATACATTTTATTATAATTTAACTCAATTAAATTATTATTAATATATATTTTTAATTAATAATATAATAGATGGTATATTATTATTATGATTTTTAGTTATTAATTATACTTTTTACTAAACTAAATTTTTTATTAAAAAACATTTAATCAATTTAGATTGTAAGTTTTTTTATTGATTATTAGTATTAATCATATTTTTATTATAATATAAACTCAACTAAATAAATAATAATATATAGATGGTAAATTTTTTATTGATTATTAGTATATATACTTTTATTATAATTTAAATCAATATATTTATCTTAAAAAAAATTATTTAAAATAATATTACAAAAGAAGGTAAATTATTTTTGTTGATAAATAGTATTTAAATATACTTTTATTATAATTTAAACTCATCTAAAGTTTTTATTTAAAAAATAAAAAATAATAATTAATAATACATTAGATTGTAAGTTAATTTTTATTAATTATTAATATTTAATTATACTTTTTACTAAAATTAAACACAACTTAATTTTATTTAAAAAATCTTATAATTAATAAAAAATAAATAGATAGTATAGATAGTATGTTTATTTTTATTAAATAAAAGTATATAAATATAATTTATTGTAATTTAAATAATTAAACTTTTTATTTAAAAAATGTTAATAGATGGTAAATTATTATTATTAATTATTAAATTTTAATTATACTTTTTAACATAAAATAAATTAATATTTAATAATTTTTTAAAATTTAGTAACGGTAAGTATTATTATGATAAAATGATTTTAATCAATACTAATAAAATATTTATTTAAAAAATAGGAATATGTTTAAATTGTAATAAAAAAAATACTGGATATAAATGGTGTAAAGAATGTAATTCCAAAGTTTTTCAACAAAATTTTTCTAATTAGACAAGTAAAAATAAATTTATTGATAAATTTATTCAAGATATTCAACTAAATGCTAAAAATAAAAAACAAATATTAGAATGAATTGCTATGATCAATTTATAAATATTGAGTATCTTGATAAATGAGGATTTAGTAATGTATATAAAGCTACTTGGCTAGATTGATTTATTAAATCTTATTCATATAATGAATTAAATTTTATTAGAAGTAATAAAATAATTATATCTTTTAAAAGTCTGGATAAATCATTAAATTTAAATGAAGAATTTTTAACTGAGGTATGAAATCAATTAATTTAATTTTAAATAATAAATTTTTAAATTAATTTTATTATTTTAGTGGAAACATCATTATGAATACTTTAGTCAACTAAAATTATATTCAAAAGAAAATCTTATTCAATTATATGGATTTACTTAAGATCCAAATACATTTGATTAAATTATAGTAATGAAATATGCAGAAAATGGCAACTTAAAAAAAAATTTATTAAATATTGTTAAAAATAAATGGATTGTTAAATTATTATAATTATATAATATTATTAGTAGACTTGATGAAATACATAAACAAAATCTTATTCATTGTGATTTTCATCATAGTAATATTTTAAGTATAAAGAAAAATCTTTTTCTATTAGTGATTCAGGATTATGTAAACCTGTAAAATATTTTCAATCATCTAAAAAAAATAATATTTATGGAATTTTACCATTTGTTGCACCTGAAGTTTTGAGAAGGCAACCTTATACTTTAGCCGGTATGATATATAGTTTTTCTATAATTATGTGGGAATTAATATCTGGAATTTTTCCATTTAATAATGAAACTCATAATTTTCAACTTAGGTTAAATATTTGTAAAGGTAAATGTCCTAAAGATATTGAAAATACTCCACAATGTTATATAAGATTAATGAAAAGGTGTTGGAATATTTAGAGCTCCTAATGAGTCGAGTCGAGTCGAGTCGAGTCAAAAAATTTTAAAACTCTAACTTGACTTGACTCAACTCAACTCGAGTCAAATAAAAAACCCCAAAATATATTTGCTGATTATATAAATAATAAAATAATAAAATTATATTA